CCCAGCTGGCGCTATTGAATGCATTCTTGACATCGATCGTAATCACGGCGCAGTATCGATTTCCTCTCCGCTTCTGTTTGGAAGCTTTCTCGGCTCTGTCAATCACTGTCCGAATTGCATCCACCGTCGATCTCCCTTTCCGGAATCCAAACTGTCTCTCCGACAATCCGTGTTCACTCTCCGTGCATTTCGTCAGTCTGTTGAGGATGATCCTCTCTAAGAGCTTTCCTACAGTATCCAGCAAGCATATTGGCCTATACGATGCAGGATCCCCCGGCGGTTTTCCGGGCTTCGGCAACAGCACAAGCTTTTGTACCTTCCACCTATCAGGGAACTGACCATCGTCCAGACATTTCTGCAGCACCATCCTGAACATGTCCGGGAACGTCTGGATCGCCGCCTTCAACGCCACGTTGGGAATTCCATCCGGGCCGGGAGCTTTATTCGCTTTCAACCCTTTCGCTGCTGCTATGAGTTCCTCGTTGGAGACTTGTTCAACGTTGTCTTCATCTACCTCGCCATATGGTGTAGGTGGCCAGTTCGTTGGGTCATGCTGTGGGAAAAGTCCCTCCACGATGACTTTCAGCTTGTTGTGACACATTTCAACCGGCATCGTTGGGCCTCTGATCTTCGCCATCGCAACTCGGTATGCGTTGCCCCAGGGGTTGGCATCGGCATCGCGGCACAACTCCTTGAAACTATTTGACTTGCTCAGCTTTATCTTTCGTTTCAGTGCAGCCCTGGCCTCTCGGAACACCACCCTGCGCTCCTCTCTGTCTGCTTCTGTTCTTGCTCTCTGAGCACGCCTTCTGGCTAGAAGACAAGTAGCACGGAGGGTGCTAATTTCCTCGTTCCACCAGTAGGCTGGACGCCGCCTGTTCGTTGGCTCCAGTTTTCTCGGCATAGTTGTGTCACATGCCCTTGCTAATAATTCGGTCAACTCATTCGCGCTTAGGCCCGGGACGCTGTTGTCTACCCTTAGAGCTTCGATGAAGAGATCCTTATTGAATGCCTTCGTCTTCCACTTCCGCTCGCTTACTTTCGTCCTCCGCATTTCCACCGGTGTTCGTTCGCCGATACTGTACCGGATCGCCTGATGGTCACTATGGGTGTACTCCTCGCACACCGTCCAGTTCATATTTGCCATTAGCGACGTACTGCAGAAAGTAACGTCGATAATGGATTCCCTACCATCTTTGCGGAAGGTGCTGATGGTTCCTTCGTTGGCCAGACTGACGTTCAACTTTGCCAGAGCTTCCAGCAGGCTATACCCTCTTGCGTTGGTACATCTGCTCCCCCAATCCACTGCCCAAGCATTGAAGTCTCCTGCGATGACGACTGGTCTCCGTCCAATGAGCTCTTCGGTGAGCCCATCTAGCATCTGGTGGAACTGCTCAATTGTCCATCTCGGGGGTGCGTAGCAACTACATACAAAGATTCCATTGATTTTGGCGATCACGAAACCTTCATATGAGCTTGCCACCACTTGTTGTATGGGATACCTGCCCATGACTTGTATGGCCGGCATTCCTGCTCTATCCGCCACCCAGTTACCATTATCGAGAGGGACTCGGTATGGCTCTGCAATGATTGCAACGTCGCACTTTGTTTCCGTTGTTGACTGCCACAACAGTTGCTGTGCTGTGTTACAATGATTGAGATTTATTTTGCTGGCCCACCATCGCCTTCTTGAACTCAGGGCACCTGAAACTTCCCGTCACATGGCCATTTCCGTCCTCCTTTTTGCAGAGCATGCACCTCGGTTGCTTTGTACAGTCTTTTGCAACGTGCCCCTTCTCTCCGCATTTCCTGTATGTATGTATGTATGTATGTATGTATGTATGTATGTATGTATGTATGTATGTATGTATGTATGTATGTATGTATGTATGTATGTATGTATGTATGTATGTATGTATGTATGTATGTATGTATGTATGTATGTATGTATGTATGTATGTATGTATGTATGTATGTATGTATGTATGTATGTATGTATGTATGTATGTATGTATGTATGTATGTATGTATGTATGTATGTATGTATGTATGTATGTATGTATGTATGTATGTATGTATGTATGTATGTATGTATGTATGTATGTATGTATGTATGTATGTATGTATGTATGTATGTATGTATGTATGTATGTATGTATGTATGTATGTATGTATGTATGTATGTATGTATGTATGTATGTATGTATGTATGTATGTATGTATGTATGTATGTATGTATGTATGTATGTATGTATGTATGTATGTATGTATGTATGTATGTATGTATGTATGTATGTATGTATGTATGTATGTATGTATGTATGTATGTATGTATGTATGTATGTATGTATGTATGTATGTATGTATGTACGTATGTATGTATGTATGTATGTATGTATGTATGTATGTATGTATGTATGTATGTATGTTAGACCTGTTCATTTTAAACAAAATGTTCGGAATGTAACGGGTCAATATATATGGTATATGGTGAATTATTAGATAGACATGAACAAAAATCTTGGTTTTACCATAGTAATTCTCATACAAACTTCAAATGGTTTGTGCGATCTCAGTTTCTCACCAAATGGGTTTCAATTTTTAGAGGTTAGTCAGGATCCGATTTGGAATCGGTTAAGTATTGTGGAGCGAAAATTTCAAATTTTGCATCACTCTAATGTACAGTGTGTCTCAAAATTAAGCGTACAGATGTCCTTAAATTTTAGAAAAAAAAAAACAGCTTTAAAAGCACAATTTAAAGGGATCCGTTTCTGAATTTCTGGCTGCTGAATCATCATAAATTTATCTATTATTGGTACAGTATTGGGCTTATTTGGTTGCGTTTATTAAAAATAAGAACTATTTGATAAAAATGCCTTTCCATGAAAAACATTAATATTTTGAAATATAATGATCTAAACTTTTTGAAATTTTGCTCATTTTTAGTCATAATTCATATTCCACTAATTTTACTAAAATTTGTCCACTAGGTAAAAAGTTGAAAATCGTGCGTTTTACTCAAATAAATCTAACTTCATACAGGTTATTCCAATAAAGTCTTAAACTAAAACGATAAATCAATAAACATCTTTTCAACCACCAGCCAAGTTTAAAAAATATATATCTATTCAGAATGTTTCAAAAAAAAGTTCCACTGGGTGTACGCTCAATTTTGCGATACACTGTATATAGAGATTCGCAGAAGCGGCAATTTTGAGCCAACCAAGCTGCGAGAACTGCCAAAATGTGATTAGAATTTTTTTAGAGGATTTCTTATTAAGTTGAAAAGTATGTATGAAATGTCTCTAATGTTGGTCTATGGATCTAAGATTGGGCCCATCGCTAAAAATCTGCTATTTATCAATTTTATCTAGATGAACGCGTTATTGCGACGTTACTAATGGATATTTTTGGTTGCTATTGAAAATTTAGCCGTTTGCTGAATTTATGTATGGGCCCAAATTAGGGACACCCAGGCCGACATTACCTGCAAAATCCACGAGCCCCTCATTTTATCTGTCGAACGTTCATAACGAATCAAAACAAACGAAGTGTAGTAGTAGCATTTCGACTAGAAGAATGGGGTACGTTCATCGGTGTAATCGGGACCGATAGGCAAGTCCAGTGTGATCCAATTTAAAATCGTTAGTTTCCACGCATCATTTTTGCACTTGAAAACAGGCGGCTGCTGTTTCTCAGCAGCAATTACTACATCTCCACTGTTCTTCTCGGTGTCTGGGAACGTCACATTCGTCAGCACCACATCTTCTTCCAAGACCTCAACCGCTCCTCGTTTGGCAATGCACCTCCACGAGCGTATACGTACTGGTCGCTTCCTCATTCCGTTGTTAATTTTCGTTTTTGTACCAACCGGTAACGCCCCGTAACGTGGGTAGATCACCTTTTCGTGGTACGTTACGGGATGTAAGATCTACCACCGATTCCTAGTCTTGTCTACTTCAGACTAGGGAAACAGGATTTTTCAGTTATCAAAGGAACACATCTTAGTCCTTGTTACTTTTTATGCCTTGTTGATAGTGACAAGTCCCCGGGTTGCCTTGACCGAGGATGATCTTGAAACAAGGAAAAAATGAGTTAGTCTTCACCTATGTGATTCCAAATCTTCTATTCATTGTTCCCTAGTTTGAAGTGGTTAAGACTAGGGTTCTGATGCATGGTCATTATCGGTGTCATTGCTTGTTTTTGTTGCTAAGAGATCCAATTTTGATTGACAAAGGAGCGCGCCTTTGGAGGGTGTTCCAACACTCCGAAGGGTATAAATAGCGGGACCTTTCAATTATAGTCGGATCCTTGCGATAAATGCGAGAATGACAACTGTAAAAAAAATCGAATGCTTCATCATTTCTCAATAGTGATGGAGTAATACGACATGCACTAAACTAAGGACACGGGATATACTACAATAGATCAAATTACTGGTCGCAGTGGTTTTATGTCCCGAACAGAGGAAAAAAAAAAAAAAAAACCGGTGGAAACTAAGGATTTTAAATAGGCTCACTACTTGACTAGCCTATTGGTTCCAAGCAAATCGATTAACGTACCCCATTCTAGTCGAAATTCTAGTACTACACTATGTTTGTTTTGAGACGCTATAAAAGTTTGACAGATAAAATGAGGGGTTTGTGGATTTTCCTATGTTTCGAGGGGTGTATCGATTAGCTTGGGGACCGAAGAGGGCCAATTTAAAATCGTTAGTTTCGTATTGATTGTTGGTTGTACTGCTTCCGATCGTTCCACTTGGGGCAGGAATTCATCCGATGCCCCTACGCCTTAAAAATTAAACGCAAGTTTTTGTTCCCTTGATAGAATATTTTCGTTCCCCTTTCGATTGTTTACAAATGTGCTGGTGCTAGTATATTAAAACTACTGAAAAAGTGAAGCTCAAAGTAAACAGGTTTAAGCATGAGCTATGTAAACCGGGCATAACGCCCTATAGTAAAAGTTCTCAGCCCATGTCATGGCCGAATGGAAACACGGTATTTATTTTCCAAGTATCAGTTGTTTCATCATTTTATTCATCCTTTTGCATGTTCATCATTCATCTCGTATTTATTTCAACAACACTTAAAGATAGGAGTGTATATTATGCTTACTATTTTTACATTTCTGCCTTTGAATTTAGTTCCGAAAAGTTCTACCGAACAAAAGCGAATCGAATGCTGCAATTATTTTAGATAAAAAAAACTGTAAGTCGATACGAAAAGAACTCAAATCACAATCCGCTATTAATGTTGATAAGTGTCAGCCAATAAAAAAACACAAAATAAAAGTAACTTTAACAGCGTAAAGCTATCGGTATAATTAGGCTTAATTGTAAGGACATGTTATTTTTAGCAAATGAAATCTCCTATACAAAAGCATTACTTTTTCATACCTACGCCATTGATTGAATCATCTCACATATCCGCTTAATTAAAACCACTTCATACTTCACATAAGACGGCCAACGCAAACTTGAGAGCAAAAAAGAGGGACAATGCGCAAAATACTCGACTCGCCTTTGTAATTATTATTACTGTGTTTTACTAGCTCAAAAAAGTTTCTTCTGTTTCTCCTTTGAAAGTTTTCAGTTTTCAGCTTTTCTCTCGTGTAATTATTAATCTTTTAGTTTTGCAGTATATCAATGTGCTATAGTAGTTCATATATGTTACTGTTTCATAATTATTTGCAGTATAATTACATTTTATTTTGTATTTCATTCCTTCTTTTTTGCATTTTTTTTCTTTAATAGTATTAATATTAAATCGTAGAAAAAAGCGTAAAACTCAAAACATAAATTAAACACATATTTTACGTTAGGTTTTATCGTTTTTTTGTAGGTATGCATGTATTTTCATGTAGGGGGTTTGTAATTTCGCATAATCCAGTTTTTTTTTCATCCTATTTACTAGCATTTTAGTAAAAAACTGTTTTACTTTCGCTCTCATTTGATAAAAGGAAAAAATTATTATATGTTAACGCTAACAAACCAAAGAAAAGCTTTAGTTTGACTCATTTTTATCATCTCCCGCCGATGATGATGAAACAGACGTTTTACGTTCTGATTCTTCCGGCTTGCTGCCTTCAGCGCCTTGTTTTTCTTCGCGTGGTTTGGCAGCGCCAAATATGGCGGCAGCTTGCTTTGTTTCCGCCAGAGCGTTCAACGGAGTGGCCACTGTTCGTGGTTTCAAGTTCAACTTGGGTCTACCGGCGTCACGTTCCGCCAGACTAAGCGCAGGACCAGCATTAATTGGTTCATTTCTTCTATCACTATCACGATGCTCTCGACGACCACCTCCTCCTCCTCCACTAGCACCAGCGCCGTATCGATTGAAACGTTCACCTTCGGCGCCACGGTTGAAGTTATCTCCTCCTCTTTGGCCGTCAGAATCTCGGCTCCAGTCATCTCGACTTCCTCCGTCGCGGCCACCACCTTCATGACCTTCCTCACTAAAATTACCATATCTGCCGCGGTTTGGTCCTGGTCCACGCTCTGGAATACAGACACAGATGTATTTTTTTATAAATGGGAAATGGATTGAGAAGTTTGCAATTCGTTCAACTCGATATTAATCTACCTTCGGAGAGACAAAACTCTTCTTACACATCCAAATTTAAATTCTCTAGTATATTTTAAATAGGTCCTATCCGCCATTTTTTATGAAAATTAAAAGAAAGCGTTCGTGGTTGTATTTTCGAATGTTAAATTAGCAACAGGAGAGTAGGAACTTTTAAAATTGATACAAGCTTCAATTTTTAGGTATGTAAAGACAGCTCTTAGTCCCTTACCGTTAAAATTATTTGAACGTCCGCGGTTTCTATCAAAATCACTTCTTCCAAAGTTATCATTACCGAAGTTTCTCTCACCACCCTGGCGGGTATTTTGAAGCCCTCCTTTGTTACTAAAGCCACCTCCGCCGCGATTCTGCTGACCGCCACCACCTCTCTTATTGAAGCCACCACTGAAAAGACATAAAAAATATATATGTATAATTAACAGTTTCCTGGTTTAGGGGCACACTCTATTAATTGGATAATCACTTTTTTCTAGTAAGAAAGAACCGACGACTGAAAATCTGAAAAATCCAGGTAAATCTGTAATACTGCCAACGCTGCCTGCAACACAGCTCGCTTGGACTGGTACAAGGAAACGACCAAATTGTTGGAAAGCTGCTTCACGAAGTAAAGCCGAACATGATAGGTACAAGTCTAGATAGAGCTGGAATTAGGGCGTAAACCCTTTTGTAAACAATGACTTCTCTCGATGATTTCTAAAAAGCCTAGACTCGCTCACTCAAATAAACGTCACTATCGGGTAGCGGACATCTTCCCCTTCCCGTTGGTTGTATTGGTTTGCGTTGGCGTGCCTTGAGTTTCGAGAAATCATCGAGAGAAGTCATTGTTTACAAAAGCTGTTACGCCCTAATTCCAGCTCTATCAAGAAGTGTGTTTTTTATTATGTCTTTTCTCGATTCCGATCGAGCTATTTCCTCAACCATGTATATTGCTTTATTTGTTTGGATTCGCTGGTAAATACATATTTCAACCAATCTTCTGGCACGGTCATAAGTTCTTGAAGCCGCCATTGGTAATAGTGGTGGCGTTGTTGTCAACACGAGTTTACGGTAGCTTCATACACGTAGAAACATTTCAGATAGGATAAATGTCGTATTCGGCACCAATTGACTGTTTTCGGCAACTAAAAAACTTCGTTGAATTTATTTAAACGATTCCTTTTCTTTCAGTTTCAATCTGATTAGGTTTTTACAACTGAGCAAACGCATTTTCTCAGGTTTTTCTTGAAATAAAACATACGCATTATAACATGTTGCTGATTACGCGTCGTTGCCGATAATAGAACAGCAGAATAACACACAGTTCAAATGGAAAGGTTGCCAAAGAAAAAGAGGTTGCCGACAATAGTCACACACACCTGAGTAGTTTGTGTTCGCAACAGCGAATAAGTTTCGACACGACCCTGCACCGCCGCTGGCACTGTAAACGTCCTGAGTTTACCGACCGTCAATGCATCAGCAGCAGAAAAAATCTCCCTTCCTTCCTCCTCATCCTTTTTTTTTTACTAACCCCGAGATAGCCGCGGGAAAACGGCCTCCCTACTAACATGACAACAACCAATCACAATCAAGATTGTATTTTATAGTACACTTTTCTATCCTTTTTGCGTTGCGCAGTAACAGCCAATCAGCAGTGGCTGATCAAATATTAAAATGTTTAAAAGTAGAGTACGCACCAAAAACTTTGTCAGTCTTTCTTGCATCCTGAAGAATAAAGCAACCACAACAAGTAAAAAAGCTTCTCGCAGTATTATTTCAAGAAGAAACGTCTTCCAGTTTGCTTGCTCCTGCTGTTGATTGGTTTCGTCTGCTTGCTGTTTGAAGTTCCGGTCGTCAGCGTCCTGCTCTGACATGGTCCTACTAGTTGTCTGCTGCGTGTTTCCACATTATCACTTTTCCAAAAGAGTTTATTTCATCGGAGTTCTTTTCAGAACTTCCGATATCGTGTGGTAAGTGGCTTCACCAGCAGAACTAGTGCCCACTCCGTTCCGGGAGCAGCAATCCGTTCCATCGCTTGTCGTTGACAGTGGGTCAACGAAGCATAGTTCGTGTTCATCGTTGGCAGTGGCCAACAATCAGTCTGTCCGTCGATCTCGTTGGCAGTGAGCCAACAAGAAAAATCGTGTTTGTTCGTGTCTGTTGGCTATGCCCAACATAGTGGTCCGTTCGGAACCGGATTTGTGAAGCGTATACAGTCCGCTATTGAAGTGAATTTTTTCTCGCGTCACGGTAGCAAGTGAAGAAGAACAAGAACTTTTAGTGAACATTGAACGCTACCGTCGATGCTTATGTGACAGTAACAGAACAGTAAAGTTATTTGCTAGAACGCAAAAAGAACTCCAAGAACTCAAGTGTTAGTGCTCCTGCCTTTCATCTGGTATCATCGTGTGACGTTCGAGAATTGCTCTCTCCGTAGCAATTACCATTCCTTTCCGATGCCAGTGGATCGTACCCCATTGAAACCGCTTAAGCCAACCATGGAGGAAATCAAGCCGCTCATCCACCAACGCGGTCAGGTAAAGGGCAAGGTGACTGCGATCGCCAATGCCTTGGAAAAATACGAAAATGATCCTAGCCAGGTGAGTCTTCCGTTTCTTAAAGTTTACGCCAAAAAGCTAGAAGCTCATTATGCTGAATATTCCGTTTTACACAAGGAGATTATTTGTTCCATTCCTCCTGGTAAAACGGATGATCAAGATGAAAAATTGAACGAATTCGACAAACTTCATACCGATTGTTTGATTCGGTTGGAATTTCTCATGGAAAGTTTAAGTACTCCTACCAGTGTTTCCTTTACCAACGCCGCTACGCCAGCTAGTGCCACCCAAGTGATAGTACAGCAACAGCCGCTCAAGGCCCCAATCCCCACTTTTGACGGGCGCTACGAAAATTGGCCTCGTTTTAAATCCATGTTCCAAGACATCGTCAGCCGATGTTCTGATTCGGATGCGATCAAACTGCATTATCTAGAAAAGGCACTAGTTGGTGCTGCCTCCGGTATTCTTGATGCCAAAACCCTGTCTGATAACAACTACAACCACGCGTGGGAAATACTAACCGACAGATATGAAAATCCGAGGATTATTATCGATACCCATATTGACGAGCTTCTAGCTATGAGAAAGATGTGCAAAGAGTCTCACAAAGAACTACGTGATTTGGTGGATACGTGTACGAGGCACGTTGAGGGTCTTAGGGTTATGAAACAATCAGTTGAGGGTACAACTGGGTTAATTATCAATAAGATTTTGACTTCTTGTCTCGACGCATCCACACGTAAGCAATGGGAACGCTCTCTTGCCCATGGGGAACTACCGAATCTTGAAAAGACACTGACATTCCTGAAGGATCAGTGTCGTGTCCTTGAACGTTGTGAAGCGGATCATCCTACAATCGTAAAATCCCATCCTGTTAAACCATCTCAACCAACCGCTAAGCCCAATAGCGTGAAGGTTCACGCTACTACATCCGACAGTAGTAGTGAGTCTTGTCAGTTCTGTGCTAAGAGTCACTTTAATTACCAATGTCCCGATTTCCATAAACTGCCTGTGTCGGATCGAGTAACAAAGGTGAGAGAGTCCCATTTGTGTTTTAACTGTTTGCGGCGTGAACATAGATCCATTGCTTGTTCGTCTAAGAGAAACTGCAGCAAGTGTAACAAGCGACACCATTCTCTTTTGCATGAGGATGGATTCAAACGTGAAAGTAATGTGAATTCCAACAACCATCCCGTCCAGAGCAAAGGTGAGAATGAACGGGTTTCACTTGTGGTAACCCCCCAAACCTCGTGTGATGATTCCGCAATTTCATCTACTGTGTCTAGCCAGCCGTCCGTCTGTTCTCTTAGTGTTGCCGTCCCTAATGTCTTGCTTCTAACTGCTGTGGTGAGCTTGGTTGATAAAAATGATAAGCATATTCCATGCCGTGCCTTCCTGGATTGTGGTGCTCAAACGAATCTGATTTCTCTTCCCATGTACGAAAAGCTTGGTCTCGAGGGAGTTCCTGTTTCCATTGACATTGTTGGAGTCAGCAATGTGCGCACCAAATCCAAACGTCTAGTAACCGTGAGCCTCCAATCCCTCTACAGGGACTTTCAAGTAGATCTCAAATGTTTGGTAACTCCAAAGATCACGAATGCTCTCCCATCCAAACCTGTTAATATCAGTCAGTGGAACATTCCTTCTGGATTTCAGTTGGCTGACCCTAATTTCTATGTACCTTCTGATGTGGATCTGTTGATTGGACTTGGCCATTTTTTCAGACTATTGAGGACTGGACATCTCGTTCTTGGTGATGGTCTTCCAGAGTTGCGTGAAACCGAACTGGGTTGGGTTGTTTCCGGTGAAATTCGTGATGAGTCTGTAGCGTGCCTAAGCCCCCAGCAAATCAACACCGTTACTATCGAATCGCTCAACGAAATGATTAAAAGTTTCTGGGAAATTGAAGAAATCAGCAATGTTTCCCAGCGTACTGTTGAAGAAGAGGAGTGTGAAGAGACTTTCCGCAGCACTCATCGTCGTGATCCTACCGGTAGATATGTTGTGAAGTTACCATTCCGTGAAAATGTTTCTCAGCTCGATGCTAATCGTTCGTTGGCTCTTCGTCGCTTTTACTTTCTTGAAAGGCGTCTCCTTCGTGAGCCTGAGCTTCACGCGCAATACTCGAAATTTATCGAGGAATATGAAAGCCTAGGGCATTGCAGAGAAGTTCGCGAGTCAGATGATTCTCCCATTACTTGCCACATCATGCTATCCTAAGGCCGTCGAGTTCAAGTACCAAGTTACGAGTTGTTTTCGATGCATCGGCAAAGCTCCCCTCCGGAACCTCACTAAACGACGTTTTGCAGGTTGGTGCAGTCGTCCAATCTGACCTTGAGAAAATTATCTTGCGATTTCGGAAACACACATACGTGTTCACTGCTGACATTGCTAAAATGTTCAGACAGGTTTTTCTTGATCCTTCACAGGTCGCTTTCCTTCGAATTTTCTGGCGTTCAAAGCCATCGGAAGCTCTCAGAGTTCTCGAGCTACTAACCGTGACTTACGGTACCTCCGCTGCTCCGTTTCTTGCAACCAGAACGTTGCTTCAGTTGTGTATTGATGAAGGTGACGAGTTTCCGCTGGCAGCGCATATTATTCGAGAGGATTGCTACGTTGACGATGTTCTGTCAGGTACTGACAGTATCGAAAAGGCCATCGAATGTCGTCAACAAATTCGGAATTTGTTGCAGAAAGGAGGTTTCCCAGTGCACAAATGGTGTGCCAATGATCAAAGGATTCTCGAAGGTGTTCCCGAATCTGAGCGTGAAACTCTTGTCCAATTGAACGAAATATCCGCCAATGAAGTCATAAAAACCCTCGGTCTTCTTTGGTGTCCAAATAGCGATG